TGTATTAAGATATTCATTAATGTAATGTAAGTAAGAATTCAGAAATATTCAGAAATGTAAGGCTAAATCGGTATGATTGTCAATTAAATAACTATATTGAAAATAAGTCATAGTGAACAGTTCATAATAGTTTTGGCCATGATCTTACTTAAAAATAATGGGTAAATCAATACATTAATTATTTACTAAAACCATATACATTTAGTTAATATATATGGTATATAAATTTACTAAAACCATAACTGTGTTGTAAAAAACGATATTTGTTATTATGTATAACTAATATAGAAACCAATATCAGATGAACATTTTTGTAGCGGCTTACATACAATGTAAACAATTTTTGCCTATTCAGTAGTTCACGAAAATATAATTATAATGGCGAAATTTTAAATGAATAACGAAAAAGTAAATTAACAAAATACTAAAATGGGAGGACAACTAAAACAAATTTTATTTAAGGCCATCGCATGTTGTGTGTCACATGCATCACACTTAAAAATATTTTTTCTCAATGGAAGTTCAATCAAATAAATTTGAACTAATTTTGCAATATAAAAATCTAAGGAATCAAAAATTAAATAAAGATTAGAGTTAGTATTTCAAATTTAGGACAACTTTGATACGTAATAAAATGCTTTCTCAGATCTTAGCAATAACTAAACTTTTGAGAAAAGGAAGTTGATCTAGAGCATATTTATGATTGCCGCAAAATAATGTCAAATAGTATCATTATAGTTTTAATTTAGAATCAAATGGTGTCAAATAGTGTCAATATAGTATCAAAATAGTTTTTCAAAAAATTTTTTTAGTGCAAAGAAACTTGAACTATAAGAAACATAGTTTGTTAGAAGATATAAAACAAAATTGAATTAATTGTGTCAGTGAGATGATTGTGTCAGCGAAATGATCGGATCGGTAAAATAAGCTATCGGCGAGGTAATCAAGTCGATGGAGCGATCATATCGGTGAAATAAGTAGTTGGCGAAGTAACCCGTGCGACGTTTGCCGAAGTGAACCCTTGCGGAGGTGCTAACCGTGGGAAATTTTCGGTGTTTTTCCTTCCATGTAATGCAAATGTGCGTTAGTTCCATCTAAAGGTCCTCCACGAAGACTAGTTTGTCCCAATGCTTGATCCATTACCTTGCAATTGGTAATATTCCTTGTTTTCTCAGTTAGTCTCAAAACTACCAGGCTACAGAGTTGAACATTAATATAGTGGTGAACATAGAATTGGGTCGGCTGTTCAACTCCAGTTATAAAATAAGATATATGATGATCATGTTGGTGATATGATGTGTCGGTGACGGGATTGTAGGCGATATGAACTAAACTTTTTCCATATTAGGAAGGATCTTTCAGGTTTTTTGAAGAAAAAACCTACGGTTTGTTCTACAAAAAAAAAAAAAAAAAAATTGCACGAAGCTGTAAAAAAATTTGTGGTAATATTTTCAGAAAAGACAATTCTGACTAAATTTTGCAGGAAAAATTAATTTTTATTCCGTAACTATTCTGGTAATTGTGTGCATACTCGTTTCGGTAATGCTTTGTTGAGAAAAAATTTACAAAATACATGGAAATTAGAAAGAAGGTAATTAAAAACTAAATTAGCAAAATTTATAATGTAAATTTTTTGTTAAAACATAAAAAAGTTCGTATAAAATACTATAATACATTAAGGGACACCTTTTTTTAAAAAAAATCCATTTACTTTGCTTTTTTAACAATGCAATATTTTGTTATTTCAATATATTTGATCATTAGAATTGGACTGTAAGTATGTTTTAGCGCAGAAAATACCATGGTTTCTCTATTCCAATACAATCACAACTATTTAGTTTTAAAAATAATAGTTGTAACTAGTAATATAGATTGTAATTACTCATACTAAATATGACTGATAGTGATAATTTTAGCTAACAATGAGGAAATTGTAATAATAATAATAATAGTAAAGAATATTATGGACTGAAACTAATAATAATAATTGTAATAATTAATGATAGTTTTAATCAATGGGAGAAATTTGTCAGAAAGTTATTTTTTCACTTTCTTACTTTTAAAGAAAATTAAAACAGTTAATGAAAATGCTGCAAATATGTATTTTAGTATTTGTAGTGCTAACAGTGTATAAGATTTTTCAGTACGCTTCTTCTTTATGACAAATATATCATTGCAATGTATGAGTTCTGCTTAGTTATTAACTTTCAAATAATAAATTCATGACTGCTTTAGAAATCTTCCCCCCATTCAAATTAATGAGTTATTTAAAATGAGCCAACTTTCTTTAACATAGCCACCATTTACTTAAAGGAAAACTAATTAATTATATCATGAGTTAATAACGTATACGAGTAAACAATGATTCTTCAAAATGATATATAATCTCCATAGAGATTCCACTGGCATATCAATACAACAGGACACCAGCTCTATCGAAATATTC